ATATATACCTCCTTTGGTGAGATATTGCGAATGTGCTAACACACTAACGTAGCTAAATTGTGTACAGGTTGGTATATGCAGCAGGGACCTTACATGCAGGGTCTTCCTCCTATTTCTTAAGTGATGTCTACTGATGGAATGTTATCATATAAATCTATGTTAGAATAAGTCCTCTTCATTTTAAATGCATAATCTTTGCAAAATATTCTTTTTCGCGAGAGGTATTACGCATGCGCGCGACCCGTTTCACGTGTGCAGTACCGTCTGAAGAAAACTTCATAATATAGCTTGCTGGGGGAGAGAGGGGCTGGGAAACTGAGGAAGGGTGGCAGAGAAAATAGTTGGGGACGGTAGTAGAAGAAGGAGGCTGAGCGAGAGACTGGGGAGGCAAGGAAAAGGACCCGATAGCATAAAGTAGTTGTTTTGTTCCCTACAGGCTAGGGCGCTCTCCTAGTTATAAACACAGATCTACTGACAAAAATTTATTAGAGAACTCTATGCTTGATATACCCCCTAACCATATTAAATGCATATTCATCACAAAATATAACTCCTCTAGTGAGATATTGCGCATGCGCTAACCCACTAACCTAGCCAGATTGTGTATGCAGCGGAGACCTTACATGCGAGGTAATTCTCCTATTTCTCAAGTGATGTCTACTGATGAAATGTTATCATATAAATCTATGCTAGGATAACTCCTCTTCATTTTAAATGCACAATCTTTGCAAAATATTCTTCTTCTCTGGAGATATTGCGCATGCGCGCGCACAGTGTCAGGCGTGCAGTACCGTCTGAAGCAAACTTCATAATATAGCTTGCTGAGGGAGAAAGAGATTGGGAGACTGAGAAAAGGCGGCAGAGAAGATAGTTGGGGGCGATGGAAGAATAAGAAGGCTGAGCGAGGGACAGGGGAGGCAAGGGGAAGGATGCGTGGGCAAAACGTAGGTATTTTGTACCCTACAGACTAGGGCGCTCTCCTAATTATATACACAGGTCTACTAATAAAAGCTTATTAGAAAAATCTATGTTGGGATNCTGGCTGGTATATGCAGCGGGGACGTTACATGCAAAGTCTTTCTCCTATTTCTAGACGTCTACTGATGGAATTTTATCATATAAATCTATGCTAGGATAACTCCTCTTCATTTTGAATGCATAATCTTTGCAAAATATTCTCTTCTCGGAGATATTGTGCGCTTTGCGCGCGCAATTTTTCAGGCAGTGCAGTACCGTCTAAAGAAAACTTCAAATAATGTTATAGCTTGCTGAGGAGAGAGGGGGTGGGGGTATTGAGGAAAGGCGGCAGAAAACATAGTTGGGGGCCGTAGAAAGAAGAAGGAGGCTGAGCGAGGCGGGGGAGCAAAGGAAGGACGCGAGGGCATAACGTAGTTGTTTTTGTAGCCCTAACAAGCTGGGGCGCTCTCCTAATTATAAACACATGTCTAGTGATAAAAGCTTTAAAGAAATCAATGTTGGGCATACCCTAACCATATAAAATGCATATTCATTACAAAATATAACTCCTTTGGTGAGATATTGCGCATCGCTAACACACTAACGTAGCTAAATTGTGTACAGGCTGGATATAATGCAGCGGAGACCACTTACATGCAAGGTCTTTCTACCTATTTCTTAAGTAATGTCTACTGATGGAATGTTATCATATAAATCTATGCTAGGAATAACTCCTCTTCACTTAAAGCATAATCTTTGCCAAAATTTCTTTTTCTCGGAGATATTGCGGCTTGCCGCGCGCAATTTTTCAAGGCGTGCTGTACCGTCTGAAGTAAAACTTCATAATATAGCTTGATGAGGAAGAGAGGGGGTGGGGAACTGAAGAGGGGCGGCAGAAAAAATAGTTGGGGCGGTAGAAGAAGAAGGACGTTAAGCGAAGGACAGAGGAGGCAAGTGGAAGGATGCGTGGGCAAAAAGTAGGTATTTTTTATCCTACAGGATAGGGCGCTCTCCTAATTATAAACACAGGTCTACTGATAACTATTTATTAGGAAATATATGCTGGGATACCCCCTAACCATATTAAATGCAGTCATCGCAGTATATACATCCTTTGGTGAGATATTGCGAATGTGCTAACACACTAAGTAGCCAGATTATGTACTGGCTGGTATATGCACGGGGACGTTACATGCAAAGTCTTTCTCCTATTTTCTCAAGTGATGTCTACTGATGGATGTTATCATATAAATCTATGCTAGGATCTATCTCCTCTTGCACCTCTTCATTTTAAATGCATAATCTTTGCAAAATATTCTTCTTCTCGGGAGATATTGCGCATGCGCCCGTACCGTTTCAGGCGTGCAGTACCGTCCGAAGAAAACTTCATAATATAGCTTGCTGAAGGAGAGAGGGGGTGGGGGACTAAGGAAAGGCGGCAGAGAGGATAGTTCGGGCGTTAGACGAAGGAAGCTGAGCGAGGGACAGGGGAGGCAAGGGGAAGGAAGCGTGGGCAAAAAGTAGGTATTTTGTACCCAACAGGCTAGGGCGCTCTCCTAATTATAAACACAGGTCTACTGATAACAATTTATTAGAGAAATCTATGCTGGGATACCTCCTAACCATATTAAATGCATATTCATTACAAAATATAATTTCTTTGGTGAGATATTGCGCATGCGCTAACACACTAACGTAGCCAGATTGTGTACTGGCTGGGACCTTACATTGCATGCAAGGTGTTTCTCCTATTTCCTATTGCAGTGGCGGATCCAGAAATGAATTCTGGGTGGGGGCGAATCGTGCTAGAGTAGGGGGGAATCATGCGAGCTCAATGGCACGAATTAGCGCCCGAGGGGGATGGTGTTAGGCTAAAATACCCTTGCCCTGAAAATTCTAGTGGGGGGGGGGTCGAACGCGCCCCCGTGCCCAGGAGCGTGTACAGGATTTGTACCAGAGGGGGGTCTAACCGTAACCCAAACTTGCAAGCACGCGAAGGGGGAGTCTGGGGAATTTTTTGAAATTAGACCCCATTAGATGCGTTTTCTGCGCGAGCAGGGGGGGTCTGGACCCCCTGGACCGGGTCACCCCCCCTCTACACGCGCCTGGTGCCCCCCACTGGATCCGCCACTTGTGTATTCCCGCATGTTACTTATGTTGTAGTCGCCTGCGCCGCGCCAGCAAATGTGCGTCGCTAGAAATTCGACGACCAAAAAAATAATAAATTCAAAATAATAATTTCATTGGTCATGATGCGCAATGCATGGTGGGAAGATAACATGTCAGCCCCCTTGTCAATGAACATGTTGTTGTAGTTTCCCTGGTTAGCTTGATCGATATACACGTCAGCAGTTGTCACGTTATTTACTCAAAATTCCCATCAATAATCATATGCTTGTTTCTTAGTATATGCCTGTACACCACCTATATTGTTCTCAGGGGTCACGCGCACAGGGCATAAACTGGAAATATGATTGACAGTATAATTGTAGTACGCCAAAGTCTGTCATATTTTTGGCACGCAGTAGTTAGTTTCGTTCTTGTGTATTGGATTGGAGTCGTTTCTCTATTAAAACAGCTATGGTCAAAGACAAATAATGAAATTAAAGGTAGTTTACCACTGATAATACCAGGTAAAGCACTCGAACATTCGCCTACTTATGCTCATACTCATAGGGTAGTATGTCCCCCAGGCCAGGGTACTGCCGGAACGTACCCTGGGTACGGTCCGGTATACCGGAACGTACCCTGGTCACTATTTGATATGATTAGGGTTAGGGTTAGGATTAGGGTTCGGGTTAGGGAGTAGGCGATCCCTATAGACTCGTTAGTGGAGTAGACGAGGTACGGTTCGGCATATTAGATCGTACCCAGGGTACGTTCCGGCAGTACCCCGGGGGACATAGACCCTCTCAGCCCTACTTATACTGAGTACTCCTTCGTTAAAATGGGTAGTTGATTGAAAATTATGTAAGACGTAGGCCTGTACCGGCGTATTTGGACGCTCGCCCGAAACTGGACGCTTCTAAGTGCGCATGCGCGCAGGCGCCTCTTGTTTTGCTAGAGCGCACACAGCGCATGCACAATATGCGCATTAGTCATCTGCGCATCTTACCCTTCGACACGGTCGCAATAAACAAACATGGCAGACTTCCCTGTCACTGATGGAAACATTTGATTGAAACAATTTGCAATATGTAGTAAATTAGTAAGAATGTGTTATGTGTGTCAGGCTACAAGATAAAACAAAAGGAAACAAAAGAGCATGTCTACTATTTCCTTCGGCCATGCAAAACAAGATTCAAACAAAAAGAAAGCAAGAGCAAAACAAAAGAGCATGCCTACGGAGCGTCCAAATACTACGAGCGTCCAAATACACCGGTACAGGCCTACTGGTATTTGTAATACTAAATCAATGTACGTGTATGTGTCAACGAATGCTCATAGGGTCTATGTCCCCCAGGTTACTGCCGGAACATACCCTGGGTCCGGTCCGGTAACTATCTAGCTGATATGGTTAGGGTTAGGGTTAGGGTAAGAGTTAGAGTTAGGGAGTAGGCGTAGGCGACTCTCTAGACTCGTTAGTGGAGTAGGCTAGGTACGGTCCGGCATATTAGATAGTAGTATTTAGTACTAAGTATAGTATTTGTGTCAACTAATGGTGCTAAGTAAACCATCGATCAGTCAATCTCTGTATCCACCTATCCATCCATTCATCTATCGGCCCAAGCCCTAGCACCCCGGATTAGTTTAGCACATCCATTTGTCTGGCTGCCCACCCGCTTCTGACCTACCAAGACTCACCTATTTTGCGGGAGACTCACGCATGTGGACCCATTCTCCAGCACTCCCGCATAGGCATTCTCACGCATTCACGCAAAAAAAAATCATCAATGTGTTCAGTTAAGTTTTACCTAAAATAACTACTTTTACTTCATACTGTAGTGTACACTTCATTTAATGTTTTTATGCCTTAACATTTAATTTTGTCTTCTTTTCTTCAAATGTTAACAGAATATATGATACTGCAAATACATATTTTAAAGCCAAATATTCAGAAACTGGTCATGTTTGAAAATATTCTGAACCTCCAGTGCTCATTATATTCCCAAAATGACCCATTCTCTAGCAAAATCTCACTGAACCTCCAACAAGCTGGTTGAACACCCTTGGCAGGTCTGCCGCTTTACTATACCTGACTACTAACCGGTTATCCCAGCCACCTAACGCACCAACCCACCGATTAATGTATTTGTATGTATTTACCTAGCGATGCTCTATATATGGCATTGCATTCAAGCTCGCTCTTCATTTCTTTGCTGTTCAGGTGTCAAACATGAGGTGGTTGCTATTGTAACAGGAGGCTGTAGTGGTATTGGCTTCTGTGTTGCTCGTCATCTGGCAGGTGCTGGAGTGCATGTCATTATCGGTATGTCTATATAAACTAGTCATATGAATGTGTATTGGCAAATATATATGTTAACCTATAATTAGTGCACAGGTGCTAAATTAAAGGGATAGTAGACTCTAGGATTTTACTGCATACAACTCTACTTACTGTATAACAAATGGTCTATACCCACATGTATTTGTCACCAGATACCTAATTCAATCATTATAATTAATTACACATCAACGCTACGAAATTTGAACGGTGCCATGACACCCGCGACCGTTCTGCCACCCTGAAAAAGTTGCGTATTTGCCAATTTATTTTGCACGTTACAGACCGAGGGCTAATCACAAAGGTGCAATTATATTCATACCTAAATGCTATTTAACCGAACGATGTTTATTTTAGGACAAATTTATCCATAATATAACTGAAACTATATGTCGTTTATAAGATATTACAATCCTTTTGCTTTTAAATTAATAAATAAGAAACACGTACCCTCGGTCTGTAGCCCTTGGCTGAAAAGTGGTTTTGCGCAACTTATCAGATCGTGCGCTTTGAGTGGCGCCACCGTCGTTGTAATCAAACTGTAGTCGTTGGTTTTAAAACATTTTTTAATAATATTTCTAATGGTGATTGAACCATGTTCAAAACTTTTTATGTAGCGTAATTTTAACCTAAATTAACTGAAAATAACCCTAGAACCTAGAGTGAACAATCCCTTTAACTGTCACAGACCTGTTTGGCATTTACGATTTGGTGGAAGTCATCAGTTTTACAACCTATTAGTATTACCGCATATTCATGAATATTTATTCACAGGTGTGGCTACTATAGTATGTACACCTTGTATGGTATGTTATCAGGGCCGTAGCTAGGAATTACTGTATGGGGGGCAAGGTGAACGAGCACCAGAGGCGCTCGCTTCTTGAGGGGTATGGGGGCATGCCCCCAGGAAATTTTGAAATATATAGAAGCTCTGAAATGCCATTTCAGGTAGGTTAAATACTTAAAACACCCCAAACGGTTAAGCGAGTATTTTCTAATCTTATTATTCTTCACTGGTTTTTTTTTGCCCCCCTGCTAGCTACGGCCCTGGTTATGTATGGTACTATGAAGCTATGCCAATGCTTTCCTAATTATTTAAAATATAACACAGGATGCAGACAGTTCTGCGATATATATCAGTCGTCACGAAAAATTTTGTCGGGCAAGTATTCTGTAAAGTGCACATGCCCAAATGACATTCTAGTTGCCCATATATTTTGCAGGAATATTTTTGGAATATCAACTATATAAGCATGTTGAGCAATTTGATGATTTCATTAGTCAGTCGTAATTTTCTAAGCAGTTATATCATTTGCCAATTGTATTTGACACTTAGTGTAGTAAAAGCGCCACTGTTATTTATTTATTGTATTTTTGCGAAGGTGGCGAACGCCAACAGTAGCCCTGTATATATATATATATATATAGCATCATTATATTTTAAGCATCCAAAAATAAAGACCATGGATCATTGGCAGTGGATGTTGTTACCAATGAAAGACCTGAAGCCAAAGGTAAGCTATTCACTATGCACCACACACTGATAGGGTGTGTAGTTTTGCAGGTTCTAGCTCTAGCATCTACTAGCTGTGACACTTGCTGAAAGAAATGGTTGTTTATATTTCCAATTTTTCGAGATTGATTAATTTTGTTCTTCCAACCTATATCTATCTGCCTACCTACCTGCCTGCCTATTCTACCCCCTTTACCTACCTACCTGCCTGCCTATTCTACCCCCTTTACCTACCTACCTGCCTGCCTATTCTACCCCCTTTACCTACCTACCTGCCTGCCTATTCTACCCCCTTTACCTACCTACCCACCTACCTATACCTACCTACCCACCTACCTACCTATCTACCTACCTACCTACCTACCTACCTGCCTCCCTTCCTGCCTGCCTGCCTACCTACCTACCTAACTACCCCCTTTTTACCTACCTACCTGCCTGCCTTCCTACCTACCTACCTAGCTAGCTATAGCTAGCTATATATCTATCAAGAGTACATAATAGGAGACATCAATCTCTATTATGTACTCTTGATATCTATCTATCTCTATCTATATCTATTGTCCTCTTTCTCTCTATGTACATATATACATATATATATATATATATAGATATAGATATAGATATAGATATATGTATATGTATACAGGGGTAGAAATTAGTTTGAAATTTTACAAGCCAGCCGGGCCTGTAGGTAAGGGATTTTACAGGCCCGCCAGGCAAATTACAGGCCCGCATCATTTCCCGAATACCTCAGGGGTGGATTTTTTACGGGTCCGTCGGGCTTGCTAGTATTAGAAATCTCAGGCCCAAGCCTTAAAATACGGGCATCGGGCCCGCGGGCCCCTTAGGATTTTGATCCACAGTATATATATGTATCAGGAGCTAATAATGACAAATAGACTAATAATTTACTAATAATTGACTAATAATTGACTAATAATGACCGATAATCGAATTATTAGCTCCTGATATGTATGTATATGTACGCAAGTGTGAGTGTGTGTGCTTGTGCGTGTGCATGTGTGCATGTGTGTACTGTATGTGTTCTCTAGGTTATTTAGAATGACTTTTAATTTAATGTAATTTATAATACAGTAGAGTATATGGAAATGGATCTAGAGTCGAACCAGTCAGTCCGGAGGTTTGTAGCACGATTTCTAGAGAAGAAACTACCACTGCAAATCCTTATCAATGATGGTGAGTTCACTATAGTGTTACATATGTGCTTCTCTTCATGAACATGTAATCTCAATTCGTTTTCTGCCATAATATAAATCTGGATATCATTACATCTTTCATTATCATTTCATCACCCAGAATTAATTCAATTTATATTTTAGAAGTTCAAATGATGATGATGATGATCATGGAATGGTGATTATGATCATGTTGATCATAATAATAATAGTAATAATAACAGTAGTATTAATTGCATGCTGAATCAGATATTTATCATACACTTGTGTAGAATCGGTTGTTTAAATTATTTAGCGATACTAAAATGCATTCTCAGCTGGAGTCATGTTTCCTCCGTGCGAGATGACAATGGCGACAGCTAACGACGCTCAGTTTA